TTTTTTTTTGCAACGCTGCGGCTGGTTCCCTGCCACTGACCGTACTTTGAACCAGCAGCAGCTGGGGTGTGAGCTGAGCGGAGCCAAAGATAGATGGCAAGAGGGAGCTAGAAAGAGAGACTCTCCCAGACTCTCTTTTTTTCCCTCTCTCTGCCTTTCTCTCTCTCTCCCTCTCTCTCTCTCTCTCTCTAGCTCTCTCCTCTCCTTGTTTCTGTCTGTTTTCCTTCTCTCACTCTTATCATTTTCTCTTTTGCCTCCCTGCCTCCTCCTCTTGTGTCACTGAGCTCCCTCTGATGCAGCTCCAAAAAGAAAAATGCATTCACAAATATTTGAACCCACATTTTTCTTGGCCTCTTGTCTTATTTCCAAGCACAAACTGTCCCAAGTCAGCAGCAGCAATGCCGTAATGTTTCCTTCAAATCCCACACTAAAGCATCAGTTTTGTGTGCGTGTGTGTGTTTTGTTCACACAAATGACTCACTGCTTCCCCAGACACACAGCTTCACATACATTTCCAAAAAGCAGTTCTTTTCAGCTGACAGGGTGGCCTTTTTAATGTTGCTGTTGGAAGTTGCTGAATTTTTTCTGTGCATCCTGTTCCTTTCACTGTTCCCACTGCGTTTTTCCACTCATCTTTCTGTAACCTTTCCTCGTGCCCCTCCGGTTTCTTTGGGCTGCAGCTCTTGTTTTACAGTCGGCTGCTTTTGTTTCCAAACAACGGATGTGACCAGCGCAATGAATGGAATCAAAACAAGGCGGAAGATGTGCAGTAACAATGGTAATGCAAAAAAAAAAAAGAAAAGAAAGAACATTCAAAGTTCCATTTAACTTTAGTTTTATGTCATTGTGTTTTTATTTTGTGGGGCTGTGCAAAAACAAAATATGATGTTGTTTCCTCTAGAGCTTTGTTCTAATAATAGGTTTGTTTGTACCCTATAAATAAAACAGTGTCTGTAATGGACTACAGGTTTCCTTTCTTCCCAGCCTTTTACATCTCACTGGCTTCCTGTTTTGTTCTTTAAATCCTGCTGAGTCAGACAGAACAAGGACAAAACGGACTGTGCACATATTTTTATGCTTTTAAGTTTTAACCTGACTGCTGAACTAATTATGGGTTTTAATTAAAAACAAAATGGGTCCATCACTAGAACTCTCTGATCCAAGTAGGAACAGATAGAAGCACTGGATTCTTTTGACTTCACAATTCTTTGTATCTGTTTACTTTGCAAATA